GCTTGGAAGGAGTGGATATTTCAAGGAGAAATGTGAAAAAGCTAAATGTGACAGAAGCAAAGTTGTTCAATGTAGACCTTATCATCAGGCAGTCAAGGTCCTTTAAGCTTAGAATAAAATAGGTTTGTTGGAAAAGAAAGGAATCTGGAGCAAATAGGTGCATTGAGGGCTTATAAATCTGTATTAATAGAGAAGAAAGCAAGTGTTTGATAACCCAAATAGTTCATGCATACAGGATGAGTAAGATTCAGGACATTTTTACAATACCAAAGTAGATAGCAACTGCTGAGAATTTTACTGCTCAAATTACAAGGGCTTATATTTTTTAATGGTGCATGTTGATGAAGAGACTTTGGGATTTCAAGCACTGAGCTAATAAGTTTAATAAAAGGATTGTGTAAGAAGAGAACTATTATATCTATGGTAACAGCAACTTGAATGAAGGAGCTTTATCAGTGGTTAGAAACTTGGTAAAAAAAGAGGAAGAGCTATATAATGGATCTTACGTACCAACAAGATTCAATATTGGCACCGGACTACGGTCATTTAAGTACCATGAATTTACTAGAGGGAAGAAATCTTCCCTGAAAATCTCAATACCCATCGCTTTTAGTTAGGGAATCCACAGTCCTTAACTGTCCCCACTAGGAATAAGGAAGTCTGAAAATTTCCTGTTGTTGGACCAACTGCAACAGAGTGCCTGGAAACGGCCACAGAAGTCTCTTCCAATGCTAGACACTTTTGGATAAGCTTGAGGAGTAGCATAAGATAAGAATGCAAATATAAGACATTTGAAAACTGCACCTGGAAAGTGCAATAAATATGTTTGGATAGTTTTCTTACAGGACACATGAAGTTTTCATGCTCCAAATGCTGGAGTCTGTAGCAGTTTTGGATCATACCTTTGGGGATGTCTGTGGTATTGCAGTTACATTCTACCAGAAGAGTTTAAAGCATATGTAAAGAATATGATGACTTTGCTGAAAGATTAAAAACAGTTCGAAATCCAGTTAGAACATCCCAGGAACTGAGTGAGAGCTGAACAGTTCCTGAGAAGACAGCTGTGAATCTTAAAGAGCTCTAGCTAACTGGTGCCACTGTGAACACAATTATGTAAAACAAGTATTATGTAAACAAACATTATGTAAATCACCATCCAGACCTTAAACAAACACAAACAAATCAGGACCAAGTTGGTAGATGTGGGTGTTGTCACTATGCCCAGGGACAGCTCCAGCAGCTATAAAAATAGCTATGATAGCAAGACAGTTCAGAATACAGAAATGACAATTTGCTGAGAAAAAAGAAAAAGGCATGAAAAAGGATGATCAAGGACTGATTTGATTCAGTCCGTTTTCCACAAAGCTATATTCCTTCTAAAGTGGTGGGAGTGAAATAAGAATGTGGCAAATAACAAAAATATTATCTATCCAAATATACTAAAATATCTGCATAGCCTTCAATCTTGATAAAAGTGATAAGCTAAAGTGATACATGAGAAGGAAAGGTAAGTGGGGTAGAAAGTTCAGAGCACTATTTGTCCACATAAATAGCCAGTATACTCACCAAACATCTGAGTTTCAGAAAGACAGGTACTACTATTAGAAATGGCTGCCAAGGGACCAGCAGAAAGTGATCAGGCTGAAGTTACACACCATTCAACAGAATAATAACAAAGTGGGAGTACTGCCAGCTAAGATTAAGGGGAAGAAATATTGTAGGATGGAGCAGAGATAGTAGAGGAATGAGGAATCTTTATTAGAGAGGT